CTGCATAACGCAGATTGTTGATAAATCATCCACCAATCTTGACCCCACATTTCTCCTCATAGAGCCCAGCCTCCCAGATAATCTGTTCTGCATACAGGTTGAAAAGATATTAAAAATTGTGGCTATGTCAATATTCAATAAAATGAGAAAATATTGATGCAGTAAAGTTCAAGAATCAAAAAATCCAGCTGAAACTGTGCTTGGCCATACTCTGGGTTTGTACCATCTAGTCAGAACTGACGCATAGCTCACATTCTAGCTGATTTTCAGAGGCAGTAAATCACACAAAAGGAAATTGCCCACCTGTCTCCCATGGGGTAGCACTGGATTGGAACCCCCTTTGTGTTGGCAGCGCAGCTCGGTACTGACCAGACCACCAGAGCCACATAGTAACTAACAGCAGTAATAGTGGTGGAGGTCGTGGTAGTAGCAGTGATATAGTAGGAGTAGGGGTAGCACCAGGCGTCAGGGACAGTAGCCGCAGTGTCGAGGCAGCAGTGACACTCGTAGAAGCAGTACAACAGCAGAAGTAGCCGCGGGAGCAGTAGGAGCTGCAGCAGCAGTAAGGGTTCCAGCCCTTAAAGCTCAGGCTACAGACAACACGTGGGGGGCAAAGCTGTCCAGTGGTACCTGCGGCTGCGGCAGCACTAGCTCTGCCTTGGCCAAGGTCGCCCTCTAGTGACAGCACGGTGCACTGTGCATTCTGATTTAAGGCTTCCGACCCCATCGTTCAGCTGGTCCAGACCCAGTGCAGGGTCTTGTGGAGGAGGGCAGTTAGCCTGTGGAGGAGGGCAGTTAGCCTCCCCTTGCCCCCTGCAGCCAGGGCGGCTCTGCAGACAGCTGGTTGGACCAAACACTTGAGTGGTGTCTCATGCCGACGATGGTCTTGTTCTTTGAATCCCGGGGCACCTTGGGGAGGGGATGCTCCAAGGTCGCAGCTTCAGCCACGTGGGAGAGGAGCTGACCTAGGGGAAACCCTGTGTGTTGAGATGAGGGGTGTCAGGAGACAAAGTGCACGGAGAAGCTGAAGACAAGTCTAAATCTGTGGAGTCTGTGAATCTCCATGGAGCCAAGAAGCCACCAGGTCTCGGCTAGTCTGTCGGTCACTAGCTCAGCAGGTGAGGTGGCCAGAGTCCAGGGGTGTTCGTAGAGCTTCTTAGGGATGTTCCAAGGTCCAACTCATCCAGGATGGTAAGCCAGGGTGGGGGCATTTTATAGGTTGAACTGTGTCCCCCAAACTATCTGTCAAATTCCTGTTTGGAAGCAGGGCTGTTTGTTACGTTTTAATGTCACACACCAGAGCAGCCTAGATCCTAAAGGTGACCCCTGTGAGTGATGTGGCCTGAAAGGAGCAGAGTGGACGCCAGGTCACCAGGGGGAGGGGGACCACGAGGAGCAGCACAGGCAGCCAGCTCTGCAGACCCGAGGAGAGGTCCTCAGGAGAGGTGCAGCTGAGGGAGAGAATAGGTTCCCCTTGTTTAAGGCCTTTGCAGCATTTACCTCACAGCAAAAGGAGACCAAGACACCCCCTCTCCCAGCCCTGCTCCACCACCTGCCCTCACCTGGCTCCTGTCCTCCCCAAATGTTCTTTCTCCAGAGACCAGCTTGGGCTGGTGGTCGCCCAGCTCTGGAAGAGGTGAGTGTGCCGGCACCTGGTGAGACACTCACAACACTGCTGCTGGGTGCAGTCCGGCCCCCAAACCCCTGGACAGCAGCAGGCGTCTCTGGTCCTGCGCTCTATGATACACACCAGCGTCCACACGAGCGCCCCTGCCCGCGCACACAGTTACTCACAGCCCTGAATCTTACCAGAGAGTGTTTCAGGAGGGGTGCTCCACCCTGGCAGAGACCACACCCGTGGGGACACAGAGAGAAAGCAGCAGTGATTCAGAACTGGCCCCCTGCCTCTCCAAAGACAAGCCAGTGCACCTGAGAGGACACTTTCCCGGCCACTGTTTACATTTACCTTCACCCGCAATGTCCCTCCAAGGGGTGTCCCCACCCTCTAGCTGTGGACACTCCACAGAACAAGGCAGGAATGAAACTGCCTCACCACCCCCAGCTATGACCAGTGTCTCTGGTGACAGGGGACAAACTTGGAAGGTGAAGTGGCATTGGTCACAATGGACAATTTGAAGACAGGATTACCAGAGCCAAAGTCAGCCCTGAGGCCCCAGCCCGCGATAGGGGTGGAGCAGACCAGATGCAAAGGGGTCTCCAAGCTAGTGGACTCCAGGTCTGCGATGTAGTAGAGGGGGAAAGGGTTCTAAGAATCAGGTGGCTTCCTGCACCTCACTAGGAGTCCGTTGGTCCTGAGCAAGCCCCTCCCCACCCCAATGGCAGTGTCCTGTTTTGTACAGGATGTGAAGAGACTGAGATAATTCACAGTTTTAGTTTGCTTGACTCCACAATCAGCGCTCTTGGTAACAGCAGCCAGGAAATCAACAGACGAATTGCATTGGGAAAATCAGCTGTGAGGGGCCTCTCAAGAGTACTGAAGAGCAATGACATCAGGCTGGAGACTAAGGTGTGCCTGATTCAGGCTATAATCTTCCCAGCTACGGAGAGTTGGACAGTGACTAAGGATGATAGAAAGAGAATTGATACTTTTGAGTTGTGGTGCTGGAGAAGAGTGTTGAATATACCATGGACTGTTAGGAGAACAAACAAGTTTGTCAGGGAGAGGGTGAAGCCGGGCTGCTCCTTGGATTAAGGGATTCTAAAGCTTCGTCTGACATACTTTGGGCATATTGCAAGGAGGGACTGGTCCTTGGAGAGGGACATCATGTTTGGGAGAATAGAGGGACGGTGCAGGAGAGGAAGACCCTCGATGAGATGGATTGATTCAGTGATTGGGGTGGTGAGAATAAGTGTATCGGAGACGGCGAGGTTGGCACAGGATAGAGCAGGCTTTAGGGATCTCGTACGTAGGGTTGCCATGAGTTGCAAGCCACTCGCCGGCACGTAACAACAACAACGTAACAACAACGGCACCACCAACAGCTGTTTTAGTACCATCTTGTCTTAGTTATTACAAACAGGAAATGGATGTAATGACCAGTTGCAACCGTGACCCTTGATTGGATCCTGGTTTGAAAACCTGGAGAATCATTATATGGTCACCGGAGCCCTGGTGGTGCAGTGCTGCTAGCTGAAGGTCTGAAGTTCAAAGCCACCAGCCTCTCCACAGGAGAAGATGTGGCAGTCCATTTCCAGTAAGGCTGATACCCTGGGAAGCCCCATGGGCAGCTCCTCTCTGTCTTCCAGGATCCCTGTGTGCAGGGGTCGCTGAGATGGGCTGAACTTGTTCCCAGAAAAGATAGACTAGATGCCCATGACCGTGAGTTTGGTGGACATGACGCAGGTGGTATCAGATACTGTGGGAAGCCAAATTTCATACCAAATATGATATGATAAACCATATGCTTAAACGGGAATTGAAGGAATCACAAAATATAAGTTGAAAGTTTTCTTGTGACAGATCACAGGAAATGACCTGCTTCCTGCAGACAAGAGGCAGCTAGGGACCCCCTGCAGAGGGAGAGTTAATACCTGTGAAATACTTCCTTCCTGAGCTAAAGCATTAGGTTGACAATAGAGAAAAACTTGGCTTCACTTACAAGAGAATTCTCTTCATGATTTGTTTCCCCTGATTCTCACTAAATACACAGAGAGGCTTGGCTTGTGATACTTCAGTCGTTGGAACTGCTGGTCCCCTGGTTTTTATGCTCTGTTTTATCTCACTTTTGGTGTTCTGTCTCATTTCATTACTTTACTCTCGGTCTGCAACAAGGCACCCTCGGTCAGTGTGCAGATGATGGCATCGGTCATCAGCTAGGTTGGCATGGAGTGGGGCGGGCCTGATCCTGCATGGCTGATGTGTCTGTGATATGAAAGAGGTGCAGACCCTGAGGACAGAGGGCTGTGCCGTGTGATGACAGAGGAAGAGAGCAGAGAGGATGTGTTACAACCGAGGCCAGAGCGTCATCAGAGTTAGGTAAGTGCAGGGACGGGCATGTTAGCCCTGTTCAGGAATACAGCAGGATTGACAGGGGGTCAAACAAGTAAGGGAGCAAGTGACCTCAGGTTATGCGTGCGGACAGTGCCTGGCAAGGTCTTAGACAAGGACCTGGGAGGGTGGAGGAGTGGCCACTAAGTGACATTGGAGCTCTGGACAGTTGGAATGTGACGTGGTCTGTGCAGGGGGGAGCTGGTCATGCAGAGACACTCCCTCCCCTCCACTAGGTGTCCAGTGACTCTGGGAGGGTCCAGGGGTAACACCAGCTCAGGGGAGGTAGGTGCTCCTCTGTGGGGGCGGTCATCCATGGTTTGATGTAAGACTGCTTCTGTTTGCTCAGCTAGGCCAGATACCATCAGTCTCCCTGCCCAGAACCCGGCAAGCAGCCAGGTGCTGACCAGGGCCACTTCCTGGAGGAGCTGGTGACCTGGACGGGCATGGAGAGAGCCTCAGGCTCTGCCCACAGACACTGAGCCGTGACACAATGAGCAATGCTTTTCTCCCGGAAGCTGGTCCCAGCATCAGTAACATAAAACCAATTCCAATGAGGTTAGACATGTCTCCCATACTCCTGTGTCTCTTTCTACTCAACACCAATCTTACTTCTTTCCTGGGTCCAAAATCCAATGTGATAGCATACTAGGAAAGTCAAAAGGTTATAATCCAGATTAACAGCAGAATACAGTCAAGGCAACTCCTGAAAAGTGCACGCAGGCATCTCAGCCTCAAGCCTCGTGACTTGAGGCCAGTGTTTCCAAGTTCTCAGTCCTTCCAATATTTATTGGTTTTACTCCCCAACCTGTCCAGCAAAGTTCCCAGTCCTGCCAATATTGACTCTCCCCGTCAGGGTTTCATCTCTTATCAGGTCAACAGTTTGGTCATGGCTATTGCAGTCATAGGCGTAGCTAGAGCAGAAAGGACATCCTACATTCTCTTGGTTCCTTTTCAATGGCACTAATTCTGTGCCTATAGTTGTTTAACTTATTGACAAGACAATCTCTTTGTAGATTGTTGAGACTGATCAATCCCCTTGTGGAATGGTGAGGCACCCAATCCCTTGGGGATAAGCTAACACACACACACACACACACACACACACACACACACACACACACACCCTTTGCATAGTCTCGCCCATCTACATGGTCAGGTCAGATTCAGATGTCTAGAAAAAGACATTCTGAAAGATAAACTCCACAGTCCTCTAGGGGAAGCATTACTCAGTGCTGGGGCCAGCGGACTTAGGCATTGGGGTGTCCCTGGGGCCCAAGAGTGAATCTGAAAAGAATCACATGGCAGTCACCTTCCTTGATTTACTGTCTTAATGCTGTCAACCTGGTGGAGGGTAGCTGGAAGTTGGAATCAACATGGTGGCCGTGTGTTTTGCGTTCTCAGTCATTTGCTCAGGCTGCACCAGCCCCATTTCCCTTGGACCCTTTGTCAAGAATTGGAAATACTGAGGGAATGAGCAAATGTGGCCCATGGACATGAAGCAGGTATGTGTTGTGTGAAAGAGTACTTGCTGGATACAAGTCACCACACACCTCCAATCTCTAAAAAGTACCACGTTTGTGAAGGACAGGAAAGGGAAAGGAAGTATGCTATGCTCTGTAGTTTGCATCTATTTTAATAATTTTCCTTTTTATAGTGAATTTTATGACTGTACACTCTAATTCCTGAAAGGGTAGTCCACAGGGAGCTGTGCTTACTCTCACCTGGTCGGAATCCACCAGCAGCCCCGGAGGAAAAAGACAGTTTCCTCCTGTGCAATTTACAGCTTCTAAACCCAGAGGAGAGCTGGTTATGAGTCAGTTCTGACTCTATACCAATTAGTTTGCTTCCAGTAATTAGCTAGCTAGTAATTGTCTTCCAGATTTCTTGGCACGGAGCAAGCACTTCCAGGAAGTTCAAATTTGAATTTCAGGTAAACAGCTTGATGATTTTTTAAATATAAATGTGAAAACAAGCAATATACTAATTACATTGGGGAAATCCGCTTCCAAGTTGGGTCCAATTTGATGGCGGTGAGAAGTTTGCTAAACTGAGGAAACTTGAGATTGCTGTGATACTGAACACTGTGGCAATGGCATCTCAAATGCCGTAACACATGGTTAACAGTGTTTGATGGAGCTCCCAGATTAAGACAGGCTTGGAAGCAGGAGTGACAGCCACTTTCTAAACAACATGCCTCTGAAAATTCTATGAACTTAGAGAAACAACAATAGTTACAGAACATGGTTAAGGTCTTTTATTCATAGAGTAGCTATGAGTTGTGCTCAATTTGACGGCACTTAAAAACAACAATTTAAAATAATGTTCTATGTCACAGACTTAATAGTGTTCCCCTAGAACACATACATATAATGATAAAGTGGGAAAAGTATACAGTGTTCCCCATGATCTAATAAACCAAATAGTTGCAAAAAGATTAAAGGTGGAGTGAATACAGCCCAGGTCCAAGAAGGGAAATTCCCCTAGGGTGTGGTCTGTAACAGGAGGCTGATTGGTGAAACGGGGGCATGGCTGTAATGTAGAGTGTGGTTTGTGGAATCCTTTATCTCACTCAGGCCCACAAAGGCCATTCCACAGACTATTATGCTGCTGAAAAAAGCTGGGAATTCAAATGCAAAACTGGCATTTCAAATCCACCAGCAGTGCCTCAGAAGAAAAATCATCAGTCTACTATTTTGTCTCCATACCTTTTCAATCTGTATGCAGAACAGATCATCTGAGATGCTGGGCTGTACGAGGAGGAATGTGGCATCAGAATTGGTGGAAGAATCATCAACAACCTGTGTTATGCGGATGACACAGCCCTGCTTGCTGAAACTGAGGAGGACCTGAAGCGCTTGCTGCAGACGGTCAGGGACAGCAGTCTTCAATATGGATTGAGGCTCAACGTTAAGAAAACAAAGATTCATCAGTATGAATGACCAAGAGATTAAGATAGTTAACAGTTTTAGTTTGCTTGGCTCCACAGTCAACACTCTTTGTAACAGCAGCCAGAAAATCAAGGGACGAATTGCATTGGGAAAGTCAGCTGTGAGGGACCTCTCAAGAGTACTGAGGAGCAACAACATCAGGCTGGAGACTAAGGTGCGCCTGATCCAGGCAATAGTCTTCACAATTACATGCTATGCATCGGAGAGTTGGACAGTGACTAGGGATGATAGGAAGAGAATTGATACCTTTGAGCTGTGGTGCTGGAGAAGAGTGTTGAATATACCATGGACTGCTAGGAGAACAAACAAGTTTCTCCTGAAGAGGGTGAAGCCGGGCTGCTCCTTGGAGTCAAGGATTCTGAAGCTTTGCCTAACATACTTTGGCATGTTGCAAGGAGGGACTGGTCCTTGGAGAGAGACATCATGTTTGGGAGAGTGGAGGGACAGCACAGGAGAGGAAGACCCTCAATGAGATAGATCGATTCTGTGAGTGGAGTGGTAGGAATGAGTGTGTTTGAGACAGCGAGGTTAGCACAGGATAGAACAGTGTTTAGGGCTCTTGTACACAGGGTCGTTATGAGTTGCAAGTGATTCTATGGCACATAACAACAACAACTCCTCTTGATATTTACAGCCTTGGAAACAAGATAGAGGGTGTAAACAGCACGGCAACATGGGGAAGGCCAGGTCTGACCGTTACTAACTTCATTAAGGGGAACTGTCCCCTTCAACAATATACACAGTACCAAAATAACAGCTACAAGTGAAACATGCCCCTGTACCTACTTCTACTAATCACCAAGTTCAATGTTCATTGTAAAAATTTGGGATTTATTAGGTAAACAGGTTATAGGGGGCAGGGGAAGGACAAGGATATCGTAGTGCAAGTCTAGATTCAGCCCAGCAACACAAACTCATGAAACCTCTGGTCTCCTCTATCAGCCAGCAAGCACATCCTTTGGCTCTGACTCTACAGCTCCACCAGGCCCACCTCACCACAATCTCTCTACTGTCTGGTCAGCTGCCTCTCTTATGTTGGTCTTGAATCTATCAACCATGAGCCATGTATATGCAGTTGAGGCAGCTGGAGATCACACCCTGAGAGGAAGCTAAAGCAACGGATAGATAAGGAAACTCCTTTTCAAACGTCCTAACACCACCGAGGGTCACTATCGATGTGACGACAGGGAGTTTTGGGAGACGGTGGGTTGTGAGGAAGAAGCTTTCACAGGCTCAGGGACAGTATGGAGGGTTTGATTACAGAGCACTGCCATAAAACACAACTATCTCTAGTTTAGAGATAAAATATCTCTAACTATGAAAAATCCCAGTAACAAAAAAATATCTTCTTCAGAGATCAAAAGGAAGGACAGTGAGCTGAGATGGAAGGAGTGGACACTGGGCTTTTAGCCTCCTAAAACGTATGAGAATACATTTGTCCAAGCCACCCACTTGAGAGAACTCTGTTATCATAGCTGAAACAACATCTTTTAAAAATGAGATTTTCATTTAGGGATTTGCATAAAGACAGTCTCCTTGTGGAAGCCCATATGGCCACCCGAGAATCCACAGCTGTGGTTTGTGGCCTCCTTCTATCTATATTCTCTTCTATGTGTTGTCTGTCATCCATAGCATGTAACCCCCCACATAAAATAGGTTTTTAAAGGGATTAAACATAAAACTGCTGCACATGAGCTCCTCAGGCCCCAGGTTGTGCCATCTGATCCCCAGGTAGAAAAAAATGCCTAGGGTATTCAGAGAATTTTATCCAGGCTACTTTCCGCCACCCTCTCCCCTAGTAAACCTTAAAGCAACACCCACAAAGCCCTTCTATTTGTAACTCACAAGTTTGTTCTCTCTAGGTTTGCTCCCTTTCCTATGTTGTTGTTGTTGTTATGTGCCGGCGAGTCGCCTGTGACTCATAGCGACCCTATGTACAACAGCCCTAAACTCCGCTCTGTCCTGTGCCAATCGCACTGTCTCTGACACTCCCATCCCAATTATCCCAGTCACTGAATCAATCCACCTCATAGAGGGCCTTCCTCTCCTGCGCCGTCCCTCCTCCCTCCCAAGCATGATGTCCCTCTCCAAAGACCGGTCTCTCCTCACAACATGTCCAAAGTATGTTAGACGGAACCTCAGAATCCTTGCCTCCAAGGAGCCACCCGGTTTAACCCTTTCCAGGACAAATCTGTTTGTTTTCCTAGCAGTCCATGGTATTTTCAATACTGTTCTCCAGCACCACAGCTCAAAGGCATCAATTCTCCTTTCTATCCTCCTTGGTCATTGTCCAACTCTCTGAGGCATAACAAGTGATTGCGAAGACCATGGCCTGTATCAGACGCAACTAGTCTCCAGACAGACACCATTGCTCTTCAGTACTTTGGAGAGGTCCCTAACAGCAGGCAATGCACCTTTTAATTTCCTGGCTGCTGTTGCCAAGACTGTTGACTATGGAGCCAAGCAAACCATTCCTATAGGTAGCCTTAACACTGAGTTTTACTCCAGACCTGATCCTGAACCCAGTTCCAGTGACAAAAAGGAAATGCAACTGCAAGCTAAGGAAGCAAAGGAGGATGGAGCCTCTGGGTTCAATCAGCCATCCCCACTGGACCCACCTGGGAAAACACTTTGCAGTACAGAGGGGAGCAAATGACAGGAAAATATCTTCTAACAGAACAAGAAGGCAAGCAGTTTTAACCCAAGACCACCAGTAAGGACATAACGTGTCCTCCCTTTCCCCCTTCAGATCAACACCCCTGTTCAGCATGAAGAAGCCAGAGAGTCTGCGTCCAGTTCCCAAATCAATAAGACAGTTTGTTTAATCACCACTGGACTATGATTACCATTCCCCTGTAGCATCTGGTCCCCACTGGATCCTTTTCATTTCCTTCATCTGCTCCCCCCACCAACCAAATTGTGTAGCTCTGCAACTGCACTCCTGCAATTTTCATCCCTGCCCATCCTCACCCTTCTGCCCCCAACCCTCACCTCCTTGTACCCCCAACATGTTTTTCCCAATAAAATAAACACACACACACACCTGCTGCACAATTAGTGGTTTGGAACTCCTGTTTTTCTCAGTGTTACCCATAATTTATTCAAATGTCTTTGCATGGTCAATAGAACACAAGCATCGTCCTGGTCATCTCTGCGGGCAGCCAGGGTCCCTCCGGTATCAGCTGCGCTGCTGTGTTCCACCACCTGTTGTGAATTCAGTTTGAATACCTGGCAGTTACCGGCTGATGTTCTTTCTGCTAAGGCAGTTTTTGGAGATCTTCAGCACAATTTCACTTGCACGTGATGTTGTTTTGTAATTTCCGAATGTGTTGAATCATCTTCCCTAACGCGCAGAGAGTGGCGCTGCTAACAGGGGCTGCCTCTCTGAAAGACGGACAATCTCCTCCCCTGCGACTCAGCCTCTGGAAACCTGCGGGGTGTCTGCGTGCGTGGGTGGGTTCTCAACCACAAGGAGAGTGTCAGTGGGCTTCGGGCCTGCAGAGTCCGCTGTCCTGGGACTTCTTCCCCCGGTCACTCCTCCAAGGCTGGCGCCCAAGCCCTACTACCCTAATGAGACCTCTGACTCCCTAGGTTTTTCGCAGCGCGCCCCCTCGCCCTCATTTCCCGTGGATGCGCTAATTTTTTCTGGGACCCGAACTGTAACCACACAGTGGTCACCTTACAGGAGGTGGGTCAGTGGTCCGAGGCGGGAGGGCCAGCCGGGCGGGCTCGGGGCTCGGAGCAGGTGGGCGCGTGGGACCCTGCAGCCCCTTCCGTGCGCCGCGGTCACCTCGGCCCCACCCCGCGCTCCCGCCCGCGGGATTCCCAGGACGGGGCGGGGCGTGGCCAGCAGCGTCCGCCCCGGCCAATCTCAGCGGCGGGCGGGAGAGGGCGTGGCCCGGCCTCAGGGCGCGGGCGTTTCCCATTTGGGCCAGGCGCGCGCTCCCGGAGGATGGAACCGGCCGAGCGCGCGGAGTCCGAGTTCCCGATGGAGCCACTGGGCAGTCGCACGCTGGAGTCGGAGACCCCGGGGACCCCGGGAACGCCGGGGACTCCGGGAACCCCAGGAACGCCGGGGACGCCGCGCCTGGCCGGGGCCGAGAGGAG